AGGAGACTCGACAATTCCAAAACCGAAGAGAATTGCATGTATTATATGTCGGAAAAGAAAACTAAAATGCGATGGTTCAAAACCAAGTTGTTCAACGTGTACGCGATTGGGACATGATTGTGCTTATGATCCTGTGCGAAGAAAGTCTGGCCCAAAACGTGGCTATGTGAAAGCATTAGAAGAAAGATTGAGTAAGTCTCTAGGCGCCAGGGTCCTAAAATTTAGGGTATTTGATGCCTCAATAGTTCTTAGACACGGGCTAATACCTCATGCTATCAGAACAAGTCGAGAATATGCTCAAATCACAAGAACCTACAGCTACAACTCCAAGCCCAAGTACAAGCAATGCTAGCGGGGCTGGATTGCGGACCGCCCCTACCCCAGATCTCAATGTTCCAAGTCCGAATATTGGAGTAGACGGCGAGCGGTGGCGCTATAACAATGACGCTCAACCAGCGTTGAATGATATGGGATTCTCGGCCACTATTGGTATGGGAATGGGGCTCGATGACTTTCCATCTACGTGGGAGATGATTGGTCTTGGGATTGAGGAACCGTTACCCCTCCAAGAAGTAATTGACGAGTTGTATGTTTTTCGATAGGCTGTTCTACACTTGAGCTTACATCGTCTAGGCATGAAATTTACTTCGATAATATTCACCCGTCACTCCCAATGATCCACAAATACCGTTACCTTGCTGCAATGAATCTGTAGGCAATTTTCTTGTCCCAAAATTGAGCATTCTTCCATCTAATAGGCGTTTCATAGTGCGCCAAATCAACGACCCCCAGTTTCATTACGATATGCAATGTGGACACTGGCAGCTTCTAGTTCAGAAAAATACATGAATCTTAAAGACCACTTCTATCAGCGAGCCCGAAAATACATGGAAATGGATACGTTGAAAGGATTTGGAGAAAGCATAATTTCTGTCTCGCATGCACAAGTTCATATTCTTTTAGCTTCTTACGAATTTAGGATGATGCACTTTCCTCGAGCTTGGATGAGCACTGGAGCTGCCATTAGATTATGTCAAATGTGAGTACCCAGAGGCTAGAGCTTATGCGGAGCTTGTCCGCTAATTGACTCAAGGATGGGTCTACATAGACTTGATAAGCCTGGCTTAGAAGTCAAGCAGTGTCTCCCACCACCGCGAGATTGGACAGAAAGAGAAGAAAGGCGCAGAACTTTCTGGATGGCTTTTTGCGAAGATCGATATGCTAGTGTCGGTACTGGCTGGCCTATGACTATCGATGAAAAGGACATCACATCGGACTTACCGTCTTCAGAGGACGCTTTTAACCTGAGTAAGCCGGAAAGAACTCAGACTCTGACTGATTCAATGAGTCCTCAGGGCGCCTCTAGGTTGTCGCCATTCGCTGGTGTTGTTTTGATGGCCTCACTCTTTGGAAGAAATCTCCTACATCTACACCGTTCTGATCCTGATTATCGTGACAACGACTTAAATGGCGAATTTTGGAGGCGACACCGACACATGGACAACATTCTCCTAAACACATCCCTTTCTTTACCTTTTCATCTTCGCCTACCTCATGGGATGGCCAATCCTAATAGTGTATTTTTAAACATGAATATTCATGCTTCTACCATCTGCCTACATCAAGCAGCAATATTCAAAGCACAAAATAATCGGTTACCTGATACTGTCGCCGCCGAAAGCAAAATCAGAGCTATCAGTGCTGCCAATGAGATCACAAGCATCATGAAAATGATCTCGCATATGGATTTATCAACTGTGAGCGCGTCGCGGAAACATACACACACACATATCTTTAAAGTCTTACTAACCCATTGATAGATGAATCCATTCATATCTTTTTGTCTCTACGTAGCCGCACGCGTCTTTGTTAAACATCTCGACGATACACCAAAAGATTCTCCGGTTTCAGATGCCCTAAGATTCCTCTTAAAAGCCATGAATGCTTTAAAGAAGAAAAATCCTTTGACAGAGTCCTTTCTTGTACAATTGGACGTTGATCTGGAGGCCATGGGATTGCGTAACAATAATAAATTCAAAGATGGACCCTGGAATGAGACTTTGGTATGTCAAATCTACGCCTTTCGATATTCGTAAAGCTAATGCATCTAGCTGGGATCCAAAGAGACTGGGATACCCGGAATGGGTACAACTGTCATTGGATCAAATGATCAAACTGGATGTAACATTATGCGATTCATTGGTGGAGGGGGTCCGGATGCCATCCGAGTGATAGGCGACAGTCCTACTAACCCTCAGGAAACATCGCGCAGTATTTCTGCCGATACTGAACAAGGAATCAGGAGAACGTCAACAAGCCCTAGAGTTGATCCATTTCCTCGAAGCTTCGACGTGGAACAGAGAGGCTGGCCTAGGCTGAACGAACGCTCACAAGCTCGAGATCTGAGGCAAGGCGTACCTGTTAGTCAAAGCAAAGAACCAAACGGCAGTACATACAGCCACGATGGTACAAGTACCGACATGAGAACAGGTCTTTCTTCGAATACTGGCAATAATTCCAACAATCCAACACTGAAATCCACGTCTGACGTCCGACCTTCTAATATACAACATGGGCAGACTACTACGAACACTGGATCCTATGAAACTCGTCCAGCACCAGATGCGGATCGCGAGGTTCGTCTAATGGATGCCTTTTTCTCGACACCGCCGGGATTTAATAACATTCCAGCTGGGTCGAATATATCATCATCAGCATACAGTATGCCGGAAACGCCTGGGAGAACATATACAACACCAGATCCATGGCCGCAGCAGACTACAACGGGGCTGACGCCGGTTGGGGAGGGAGTATTTAGACATATGATGGGGTTGGGGCCCATGGATCCGATGGATATATGGGAGGGGGGTCATTGAGTTACTGACTTTATGGTATTAATGAAGTGATGGGTTTCGGGTTCAGGTTTGGTTTGCTCGGATATAACGCGATACGATATGACGTGTTTCGAATTGGCTATGGATACAAATATGGTTCAGGGAAAAATCGAGGAAAGCAGCATTTAGCTTGGATTGACATTGGCGTTGGAATATCATATTGGCTTCGTTGTAAGAACCTCTTTTTGGGTCAAGGGCAGAATCAGGTTGCAGGTGATATCATAGAGTATGCGGGATGAATATATACTTGATAGGAGGGGGTTCTATGATATATGATGTAATAATTTGATTTTAATACTTCAAGTTGAACATCCAAGATTCATCCAAAAACTCAGTTTCAATGTCCCATGTGCTTGTTAGCCCTGACTATCCTGGATCATACTCTGACAAGTACAGTGAAAAGCTGACTGATGGTTGAAAGGTGGTGAATGACTAAGGGGTTCTCATCTGTGGTCCAACATTGGATTGTTTCGAAACAGCTAACTCATTTTGGAATAGAAAGGACTCGTAGAACATGAGGTTGTTTTGAGCATTTCAAGGCATTTGAGATATCAAGATGTTGAAACTATTTCGGTTACTTATTTGAGAATTTTGGAACTTGGAAATATTCGAAGTATTTGAGATTTTGAATTTAACTATTCACTCCGTAGACATGCCTCTATGTATGCACCTAGTAAATTTATGACCGTCTTTCTTGCTCCCGCTTGTTTAAGATTTTAGATTCTACACTCTACTGAATTCAGATGATGTATACGAGGGTGGAAAAGATGGAAGGCTGTTTTTGTTTCACTCTACTTCTTGTTCCTGTTTTTTTTTTGGAAGCGAGACTAGGTTTTGAGGTTTGTTTGTTTTGGGTGTGGTTTTGGGTTTGGTTGTTTGTTTATGTGTCTATCTGTCTGTTTCTTTGTCTTTCTGGTTGGTGGGTGAGTGAGATAGTAGGGAGGCTTTTGTAGTTGGTGGTTTAGAGGGAGGGAGGAGGGAGGAGGGGGTAGAGAGTAATCCTACGCAGTGTTTCTTGACATGTGTATCCGTACTAGTACGCTGTTGCTAGGTGATGGGACTTGAAGTGTTTGTTGTGGTGGCTTGCTTGCTTGCTTACTTGGGATTTGGATGATAGTGGGATGGTGGGATATTGTTATTGAGGGGTTTGTATCAGAGGAGATGGGGGTGTTTGCAGGTGCGGGGTTATGTTATGTTATATTATGTTATGTTATGTTATGCTGTTATGTTGTATTATCTGCATTGAATGTTACAGATACTACTCGAGTATGAAGATCGGCATGAATGAAGAGGGTAGGTATAGATAAGAATAGTATAGAGAGGGGGAAGTATGCTCGGCGAGTAACTCCAAAAACCAGAGAAGCTACACGATAATCAATGGAGGGGTACCCAGATAGTGCGTGCATATCTATGTTAGTAAATAATGCAGATACACGCGGCACTTTAGCTCTATGCAAAGATCTGTTATAGGGAAGAGGGGAAGAGGGGGTGAGGATTGTGCGACGTTTATTCGATGAGTTATACTTCGGTTTGGTTTGGTTTAGTTTAGATTGTTATCTTGTGCTGGCTAGGTATGTTATGGGATTTGTTGTGATGTATTTATTTCGTATTGATTGTGTTTACGAGTGTGTTGACTCGGTGATCGGGAGGTGGTGGGTGGGATGAGATGAGATGGGATTGGCGAGTATGGATCGGGATTGCGGGCCGTGGGGGTTTGGTGGAGGGGATAGAGAGGAATCTGAGAAGGCTGTGGTAGTTTGTTTGAAGGCTATCAATTGGTTTAAAAGACTGAATGATTGCGAACATTGAACTGCTTTTGAATATTGAAAGCTAAGGTATACAATCCAGTCTCTCAAATCAGGCCACGGGACATTCTGAAGCAGGCACTAGTACCTTTACTCGCGTCTAAGGATAAGCGATCGTCAATAACTATGAAGATGGACACGCAAGGCAGCATATCAAGCATTTGGGGTGTCAATAGGCATATCTTTTATTCGGTATTTGATATTGTACATGGTGTATAAAGAATACGTCTGTATACAAGACGAAAAGTTTACAGCCTACATATACAGCTCCAATGCAAGGTATATCATGATAATTGAACCTCTACTTTGTTCTTCTCTTTCCGTGATTTCGTTCACGTGGAGTGACTACCCACTTATTGGGCTTGCGAACCTTTCTAGTTTTGTATCCTCCTTTGGCCTACAGGTGAAGTAATGTCAGTAGGTATCCTCAAAGTTTGAGGATAGTATACATACCGGCATGCCCCATGGACTGACTGGGTCGACATTACCCTTCGATTTACCTCTTCCTCCTCCGTGTGGATGGTCGGCTATTCATATTGTGAGTTATCATACTTATACGGTGATTGAAGTAGAACACGTACCGGCGTTCATAGCAAGACCTCTGACTGTTGGTCTAATGTTCAACCATCTTGAACGACCTGCTTTACCAAGTTGTCGATGTTGATGATGAGGATTACTAGCAATGCCTACAGTTGCACATGCATGCATACTGACCTTTCTCACCTCGCCACTCTGCAATCGCACAGTGACAAATCTTGGTCCCTTGTCGTTGTTAGATGTCTCATCATCTTTAGACACCACAACCGCATGTGTTCCTGCACTTCTACAGAAGACAGCACCTCTTCCTTTTGCGGAACCAACATTGTAGACAGTTGTACCAATAGGAATCATGTGTAAAGGTAAACAGTTTCCTCTCCAAGCAGTCTTTGCAGCCAACACACCCGGGTCTATGAATCCTCCCATACTCTCCAATAAATCTCTGGGGATACCGGCTCGATAACTCTGTACTTTATCTCCAGCTCGCATGCCCTCTGCGGCAACGATATAACTCTTCCTACCAGTAGCTTCCTCATTCAGTAATGCAATATGTGCACTCCTTCCTGGATCATGTTCAATACGTTCCACTGTGTGTACACCCGGTGTCATTCGATGAAAATCGACAGTACGAATTCTCCTCTTGTGACCACCACCTCGGTGTCTAACTGTGACTCGACCACTATTGTTTCTTCCACCCTTTCCATGACCCTTCTTTGCGAAAGTCAAGGGTAAAAACGGTCTTCCTTTCCATAGATGATCGTTGATAGGTCTCTTCAAATGTCTGACACCAGGCGTTCTTGGTTTGTATGTTCGCATAGCAAAAGTAGCACTGCTGCTATCTGAAGAAGATACAGGAGGTGCAAAGCCTGCTGTTACAGCTTGTGCTGCAGGTACTTCGGCTTGCACCGGTTCGACGACCGTTGCGTATGTGCGAGGGAAGGCTCGAAGTATGGGTAGATAATTGCATGTTGCCCTTGGACATTGTCGCGCAAGTATCCTGGGTTGAAACATGATGTATGTTGTATATCGAATTGATCACCACAATTCGATTGATCTTCTCGCCACGGCGAGAGCCTCCGGAAACAGTGGTTGCGAGTTTTGAAGGTCGATGTCGTTCGTGCTTGAACGTATCTCAAACTTCTTCCGGAAAGGCTATCTCCCGATTAAGTTTAGTTTGAGTATTGGATGTGGTGATAAGTTGCAGAGTTGAGAAGTAAAATTTCAATCATCACATCAGATAAAAAATTGAAGAGAGTATTGTATGAGAGTAGAAGCATGAAAAGGAACATGAAACTTACCCAAGATATAAACAATGATCGAGTATATATCGAGAAGTCAATATCTGAGATGAATCGACCCAACTTCAAGCCAATTCCACTTCGTCCAGCTGGAAATCAGTACCTCTACAACCAGGTAGGTAGACATTTTCTTAGGTGCGACTTCATCACCAGCCACATCCCGGTCCAGCCACACTCTCAAGACGGGAAACACGGTACCAAGCCACCCGACATCGAAATGGATACATGTTGCGTAGTGGTTGCCTAGGAGAAAACGCAAATCAACAAAAGCTTTGGCGTTTAACTTGCTTCCAAAGTTTCCATTCGAGTAAAGTTATGTCAATTGTGGATCTGTATGATGTTGTTGTGACCGACCCAAAATCGTCAATTTTATAGGTAAACTGGATTACAGGAAATATAGGAAATGTAGGAAATACAGGAAATACAGTGGTACATTGTATTGTCAAGACTTCTTTTGGTCAACTTCCTTCGTGATAAATCACTTGACTTGATTCAATCAAATTTGAAACCATTTATTTCAATTAGATCTACCTACTATCCCTTTCGCCCTGCTCTGCCCTTACTTCTCAAACCATTCGTTCTTCCAAAATCCGTGTTACGGTACCAGCGAAGAAAAGAACCCGCAAAGGAAGCACGAACACGCTAAAATATCCAATACCCACCCATAACAAGCGAGTGCCTGGCAACCTTGGAAGAGCTCTGACAACCTCTTTAGAAAGTCTTCCCTCTCACTCACACACATTTAACTTCATTCACTCCATCCACATCCACATCCACCCATAAACATCAACACTTCCTACCAAAATAAACAATACATTCAACCTTCGTCCTTCGTCCTCCGACCTCTTCATGTCCTTGACAACCTCTTAGGTATTTGCCAGCTTTAAATCCTTTTCGGTATCTTGTTTGTTCAGTCGTTCAACTTCTTCAGTTTCGTGTACAAGTCAAAAAAAAAACGAGTTCAATTCTTCATCTGTCAACAAAGTCGATATATCACAACCCCATTCTTCATATCGTCAATTACACGTCGGGATCTATTGAAGGTTTAATACATCTTCATGTATGTATCCCCTTAACCTCACACATCTTGATGTCGTCGAGATTTCGCGTCGTGATGTCGTCGTCTTCAGCATTCACCACGCGCTTTCCAACATCTATACCGCGTCTTGCTGACCATCATCTTTTTTTAGCGACCCACCATCATCCTCTCCACAACACTCCACACATAATAGTTAATACAACAACACATCGTCAAATATGCCAGTTGTATGTACCCCAGAGACCACATAGTTTGATTTCAGATCTATGCATCTGTTCAATTGATCTTCCAATTGGTTAATGCTAATCATGTATGCATATAGAGTCGAGCAACTAGTCGTAGGGCTCCTACAAATGAGAACGATGAGAACGTAGCTGGTGTCACAACCCGTCTTACTAGATCTAAATCTGCAGCATTTACCACGGAAGAAGTTACCGGTGCCGTCAAGAAACCACTTGCAACCAAGAAATCAACTATCAATGCACAACCAGCCCGAAAGCGGGCAGCCTTGGGAGATGTTAGCAATGTTGCCAAAGGGGGAGATGCAGTCGAGGCAAAGAAGCCTGCTGCTAAGAGTGGACTAGTCTCGAAAGCTTCACAACCAACTGGCGTCACCAAGAATAGTACACGATCAGCCCTCGGAGCTAAGGATACAAACAAGAAGTCGTTGAGTAAGGCTGCTGGATCTGGAGTGATGAAGAGAAAGACCACTGCAGCTTCGATAGCTGCCGCGGTAAAGGAAGAAGCACCCGTCGAAGACGAACAACCATCCCGAAAGAAGGTCCACATTGAAGCAGAAAAGCAAACTAAAGTTGTCGTCGAGGAAAAGGAGAACGAGGTGGAGGCAGAGGCTGTCGTTGAGCCAGAGCCAAAGGAATCCGTTAGACTTGAATTTGCCGAAGGTGTACGCGACTTGGATGCTGAAGACACTGATGACCCTTTGATGGTGGCTGAGTATGTCGTTGAAATTTTCGAGTACTTGAAGAAGTTGGAGATTGCTACCAAACCCAATGAAAAGTACATGGCACATCAAGAAGATCTGGAGTGGAAGATGCGTGGCATTCTCGTCGACTGGCTCATTGAAGTTCACACACGCTTCCATCTCCTCCCAGAAACCTTGTTCCTTGCCGTCAACATCATCGACCGCTTCCTTTCCACCAAAGTTGTTCAACTTGATCGTCTTCAGCTTGTTGGTGTCACTGCAATGTTCATTGCTTCGAAGTACGAAGAAGTCCTCTCACCTCACGTCGCCAACTTCCGTCACGTCGCCGATGATGGGTTTACCGAAGCAGAGATCCTTAGTGCCGAGCGTTATGTTCTTAGTGCTCTCAACTATGATTTGAGCTATCCCAACCCAATGAACTTCTTGAGACGTATCTCCAAGGCAGATGACTACGATATCCAGACCCGCACTTTGGGCAAGTACTTGATGGAGATCAGTCTCCTTGATCATCGATTCATGAAGTATCTCCCAAGTCACGTCGCTGCTGCATCCATGTATCTCGCCCGCCTTATTCTTGAGAAGGGTGAATGGGACCCAATGTTGACTCACTACTCTGGTTACAGCGAGGATGAGATTGAGCCTGTCTTCCAATTGATGGTTGATTACCTTGCTCGTCCTGTTACTCACGAAGCATTCTTCAAGAAGTATGCTAGCAAGAAATTTTTGAAGGGTATGTAATTCCGTATGAAAACACAAACATCTTGACTGCGACTAACGTTCCACCAGCTTCAATCCTTACCAGATCATGGGCCAAGAAACATGCCTCCCTTTATGGTATTGATGTTACCCAACCTTTAGAATCTTCATAGAACATATGATACTTAATCATATTTACTACCTTCATCGTGCTCTTCCCTGGATACACCCTTTGCATTTTAATTGGTTGGGATACGAAATGGTACTTACGACGGATGATCTTATGGATTCGACTACCAATATACCACACACTATCCTGGTCTATAATGGTTCGACTTTGGTTTATGTCGATGCTTCTCGAGGCGTTGAGTGATATCTTTCTTGTTGTCTTTGGTTTGGTGCATACTCTTTTTTTTAACATAAATTGGCGTTTGGGTCTGTACGCAAATGGATCTTACAGTATTGGCGTCTGGGAATCTGATATCGTCTTCACAAATTGCTTCACGTCTTGCAGCAAACATTCTGGCTACCAGCATATAGCAGAAAGTTATTGGCAGTTTCGCTCTATTGCTGTCATGAGTTGTGGAAGCAGAAAAAAGGGTATTATTTCTTGTGTTGATTACATGAGATAGCTTTTGTAAATATATTCTAGGCGCAACAATAAACATTAAAATTATAAAAATAAATATGAAAGAACTATAGTGCACAGTGTGTGATTGAATGGCCTGTATCTATAATAATACATTCATAGGGCTGAAGCGAACTGGAGAATTCACTCGAGCTATCATGGTCTCGAGCTTGGTGCAGGTACAATGATTTTGTATGTTGATAAGATAGATAGATCTCCATCCCCACTGTACCTTGTCAGCAGCCGAAGAACTCAAAGTCGGCTGATGCGTAAATACCTAAGGAATTATGTTTATCGACTGTCCCGACAACTGGAATCCATCGTTGGTGTTACATTACCACTTGATAGCTACTCGGCGAAACGCATAGAAACATCTCTTTGCATCGGAGGTTCTAGTCCAGATCGCCTTGGACGATGATGATCTTTTGCCTCTAGGTTTTCCCCGCTTTGCCCCGGCTTACGATTGGAACTTTGGAAGTTGCTAGTAAATAGCATTCCTTATTCCCAATTGCCATTAGGAGATCGCTTCGTTCCGAGAGTCCAAGTGGATTAAGTGAATGCAACTATTTCCGTTTGAATTTAGGGCAGGGACAAGTCGTATACTATAAGACTATATCAGGGCTATCAGAGAGTCAAATTTGTTGGCACGGTGTCTTGGGCGGCAGGTTCCTGTCACAGCTTAAAGTTGTGTTCACTTCATTGTTTACCTACCTACCTACCTACCTAGCTACGTAGGTACCCAGGTAGCTAGGTATGCATGAACGCATCAATCAAATTCACCATTCTTTTCTTATCTTCATCGTCTTACTGTCTCGACTCATACACAACGGACGACACTAACCTTTCTGAATCAAGGTTGTCTCTTATTACCTATCCCCAGGTGCAAGATTTCGCAAGAAAGCTTGAATCCCCGACTTCACCCAACAAACAACCCAGATCCTATCCTACATTGGGCTTAGTGTCATCCGGCGTAGGTGCGTCTACAATGCAGTAATGTTTGCTATCGAGACGATCCTCTATCTCATAAGTTACAACAATTCACTACACGGGTAATACTCACTGATGGTTGTTTGCTTCTGTCCAATTGACAAACCTCAAGGTAATCAGGCTAAAATATTCCCGCTAAGCAAGTGCGAAGTTAGATATGGATGTTGATATCATCGCATTGTTTGACCTTCCATCCCGGTCAATCAACTGACCTTACTAACCCAGCACATACATACATAACTCAAATGCCATGCGCACTTATTTTTCTTGGAACCGCGAGGATACTTTTCTTAAGAATAAAGGGAAGGCAGCGTGTGCTACTACAGAGAACGAAAGTGAAAGTACAGTTCCGCTCTTAAACATGGATTCCTCAAACATGAGAGATGGGAAGAGTGAGGATGGTGTGGCAAAGTCTAAACACGTTAAAGACTTTACGCCTCCATCAAGGCAAAGTGTGAAGTTTTTTTTTCAATCAATCTGTATTAATTTATATAAGTTAAATTCATGCTAACTGAACAAAACAGGTAATTCACGCGACGGTCGCATTTCACCAGTCTCGAAGACATCGACTGACGCCGAAGGATTGACCGCCGATCCAATTCCCGATGGCTTGTCGATACAAGACAAAAAGATCTTGTTGGTTGCGAGAGAGATTGATCTCATGGGCATGGGAAGATATCAGTGGTATATATGGACCTTATGTGGCTTGGGGTACTTTTTGGATCTACTCTGGGCGCAGGCATTCGGGTTGATTGCACCGGTTATGCAGAAGGAGATGGGAATTTCTGGTATGTAACGTCTCTAATTGGATTAATCCTTGAACTTGGAAGGCTGAGTTTGATGTGAGCTCTGTGTCCTGTCAAAGATAAGACAGGTCGCACTGGTTGAGGGAGATCTTGTACGACTAAATTCAGTGCTGACTAAACAATGTAGATACTCAATTGGGTCGATTGTTTACAGTGGTCAACGCTGGCTTGACTGTGGGAGCTTTTGTGTGGGGTGTCTTGGTAGATATCATTGGTAAGTTCCCAGCCCATATCACTTTACATTCTCTCATAGCTCACTTCATCTTTCAGGTCGCAAATGGGCTTTCAATGGCACGGTTTTCGTTACCTCTATCTTTGGTATTTGCATGGCGATGCCCAGTTCTTACAATGGTCTTCTTGTGTTAGTTGCCTTTACAGGCTTTGGCATTGGAGGAAACATTCCTATAGACACAACGATTGCTCTGGAATTCCTTCCCCAGGTGACCCCCACGCGACTTCATGCTAGAGGAGCTGCATTTAACACTCAGCATAGAAAAACCGTTTCATGTTGGCACTCCTGTCCATTTTCCAACCGATTGGAGTTGTAGTTTGCAGCGGCATAGCTTACGCATTTATACCCAATTTTTCCTGCGCGACAGACCTACAATCATGCAAAGCAAACGACTTGACACCAGGAGCTGAATGTTGTTCCAAGAAAGACAACATGGGGTGGAGATATCTCCTATATACACTGGGCTCGATATCCTTGCTCGTGTTTTTAATGCGATTCTTCATATTCACCTTCCAAGAGTCGCCCAAGTATCTTCTCAGCAAGAACAGGGACGTTGACGCTTTCAGAGTGTTAGAAAATATCGCAAAAACGAACCGAAAAACATTGACCATTACAATCGAGGATTTTAGGGCTCTGGATAGTCCGGATGAAATTCAGTCTCCCATCTCCACTACGTCTGGCAACGCTCGCCTCCAAGGTGGAAAAGTTCCTGGCGATTCAACTTTGCGTCAAAAGATCAAGAGAGAATTCAAAAGGATTGGGGTTCTTTTCAAAACAAAGCAAATGGCACGAGTCACCATATTGGTATGGATAATATACGCATTTGACTATTGGGGATTTTCCGTCTCAGGTATATACTCTCACACTTCTTTGATTATACAAAAACTTACTAACATCTTGAAGGCGCATTTCTTCCTACAATTTTAGCAAGGAAGGGTCTGCAAAAAGCAGTTGGATACTCCGCAACTTACCGCAACTTTGTCATCATTTACACGCCGGGTATCGTAGGTGTAGGCTTAGGAGCCTTGATGGTAAAAGTATCTCGAACAGGAAGACGAATTTCCATGATCATTTCATCTGCATTAATGGCTACATCATTCTTTCTCTTCGCGGCAGTCAATACTCAAGCAGCGAACGTGGGACTTAGCGTCATGGAATATTTCTTTCAATCTATGTTCAACTCGGTGCTCTATGGCTGGACACCAGAAGCGTTTCCGGCATCGGTGAGAGGAACAGCTAGTGGAATGGCTAGTTGTTGGGGAAGGTTGTTTTCTATCTTCAGTCCATTGATTGCAGCGAAGTTGTTGGCTATGAGCCTTAATGGACCATTGTTTTTGGCTGGAGCGGGTACTTTCGTGGCTTGTTTGGGAGTTATTTGCTTGCCGAATAATGTGATGAAGGGGAATGAGATTTAGGAATACTGGTGAAATAGGGACAGGGATAGGGACAGAAATACCCAATAGGATAAAGAGATATGTTGTAATGAGCATACGGCGGGTAAAAAGGGATTTGAGAGTGACATTATGAAGACTTCTACATAATTGAAGTCGATAAGATATCATAATCTCCATGCCAATGAAGATAGAGCGACGGAATAGCGATTTTCAGAAAAGTAGAAAGCCACCATAGTGTTAAGAAGCTGAATTGTATTGTGAACATGAAAGCTTGAATTTAAACTTCCATTCAATTGCTTGAGTCGAGTCTAATACATCAAGACTTCTTTCCTCACCCGGGCTTTCTGTGAGGGAGAGGGAGAAGAAAGCGTCAATGCTCTTTTTCTTATATCTCGTTTCTAAATCATCATGCTTTCAATATCTCAAGTGCAGCGAGCCCAGGAGCTTGCAATTGATACATGTGCAAATTTAATCAAGCAATACAATAAGCCAACTTCTAGTTTCTTTCAAACCTATGACTCCATGTAACACATTATGTTCTACTTCCCAGATGTTGATTATGATAAAGGGGCTAGTTCACCGTTCCAGATTCTTGTAGATAGAAGCAAGGTCCGTGCACGACTTTCCTTTCCGCTTTTCTGCCCCTCCACCAAATTAAAGCAGGACAACGACATTCAGCCTTTCCACCTTCCTGCGTAAATATCGACCCAGCAAGCACATGCTATAGGTAACTCTAAACCGAGCGATATTCTTTTCGAGTCACGATCAAGACAGCTTTCGCACCAGCGATTTCATTACGAGCGAGTTCATCAAGTGCGACATTTATCATGGAGGATTTCAATAGCGAAACGGACAGCGATTATACCAGTTATTGGAGAGATTGGGTATGTTGTGATTTCATTCTTTTGGCTTGAAGTTTTTGGTGCTTTAAAGGAGATTGATGGGACTGGTTATGTGTCGCTTCCTGCTGGCCATTTTGCGCGCTTCGATTTGTCTGAACGGCGGGAGGTCGCGCTTTCCTGTCGACGTCAGTCACCCACGAAAGGGCTTATGCTATGCGAAAGGGACCATGTGAAGGAAGACATCCCGACCGATACGGAAGGAACCGAGAAGGCATTTGATAAAA